AGTCATCAAACTGTGATATAATTTTTTATATGCTCATCATGCACATCATAAAGCATGGCTCCTATGTATTTGCCTGTTTTGTCTGTGGTGGAGGGGAGAGCTCCTATCGAGTTGGATTTCTACAAGTTAGAATAAAAAATTAGAGTGGGAGAAGCAATGGGAGAACACAGATACTCGATTCCACTGACTAATTTTTACTACCAAGAAATATCTGGTTATTAGAAAACTGGTTAATAATTTCAGAAACATACAACCTAAGAATTACCACTAAAAAGGGCCTTGGACCATCTCTGTTCAAAAGGTTGCCAGTGAGAACCCACTGAGAGGCCCTCTGGTGGCATTGGCTGCTACCCACAAGGTGCTCAACGAGAAGAATAGGCTGTTCCTATATGATTGACAGTCTCAAAAGCCCAATCGGCTTGATGGCAATGGGCTGGGCTGGGTTGGAGGCACCTCAGAAAGCAGCTTTCTTTTAGCACAGCTAAGAGTCATCATGAGTCAGAACTAACTCAAAGGCAGCTGACAATGACCACAGACTTCAGAGCAAATTCTGTCTTAATTTAGCTCTACCAATATAATACTGCTAATATTCTACAATCTAGTATAGTGTCTCTGGGTTGTTGATACTTTCTTCTAAAGTTTCCAATTACCTGAAAAAAAACCCAACTTTTAAACATCACTGTTGACATAGTCAAGTAACAAAATATTGTTTGTTTGGGGTTTTTTAAATCATTTTATTAGGGGCTCATACAACTCTTATCACAATCTATACATACATCAACTGTGTAAAGCGCATTTGTACATTCATTGCCCTCATCATTCTCAAAACATTTCCTCTCCACTTAAACCCCCAACATTAGGTCCTCATTTTTCCCCTCCCTCCCCACTCTCCCCTCCCTCATGAACCCTTGATAATTATAAATTGTTATTTTGTCATTATCTTGCCCTGTCCGACGTCTCCCTTCACCCACTTTTCGGCCGGCCGGCTGGCCCCCAGGGAGGAGGTCACATATAGTTCCTTGTAATTGGTTCCCTCTTTCCTACCCACTCTCCCTCTACCCTACCTGTATTGCCACTCACACCACTGGTCCTGTAGGGCTCATCCGCCCTGGATTCCCTGGATTTCCAGTTCCTATCTGTACCAGTGTACATCCTCTGGTCTAGCCAGACTTGCAAGGTCGAATTCGAGTCATGATAGTGGGAGCGGGAAGGAAACATTTAGGAACTAGAGGAAAGTTGCATTTTTCATCATTGTTACATCACACCCTGATAGGCTCGTCTCCTTCTCGAGACCCCTCTGCAAGGGGATCTCCAGTGGCCTACTCATGGGCTTTGGGTCTCCACTCCACACTCCCCCCATCATTCACTATGGTAAGATTTTTTGTTCTGATGATGCCTTCTACCTGATCCCTTCGACACCTTGTGGTTGCATGGTCTGCTGTGCTTCTTCCATGTGGGCTTTGTTGCTTCTGAGCTTGATGGCCGCTTAATTACCTTCAAGTCTTTAAGACCCCAGACGCTATACTACAAAATATTCTTTAAGTTATGTGAGCTAGTTTTTAGTCTTAGTGCAATCTATGTGTGTTGCATTTGCAATATACAGAACACAGCACATCTATAATGATCAATAATTTACTGGAAGATAAGGCATCCCAGGAAGATAAAATGCCTACGAACGCAAATATAAAGGCCCCAGCCCACCTGAGCTGAAAGGTTACATACAGATCACACCGACTACAGCATCACCAAGCCTGGGCGATTTCCTGACCTGCTCACTCATGTCTCTCAGAAGTATAAGGATGAGTGCACCTACCTTACTAGGTTGAAGAGACAATGGAGCAAGCATCCTAGGTGTCTGGCAAGTAGAATATAGCAGTACCTACAATTTGGGAATTCAATTCACACACATTTCTTTCTTTTAATGCAAACCTTATGTGTTGTTGACATAAAAGAAATAATTTCTAAATTTCTTCATTTAACAAACTGAATTATGACCATATGTCTTTAATTGTTCTGCTATCCAGATCCACCCCATTTTAACTGTCTAGTTTCTTTGAAATTTCCACTGTGCTTTTCTTTCATTGCACACATGCACGTGCACAAACACAGTAAATCATAGCTAATTGCACGTCTTAAATTAAAAGACAAAAATAATGCACAATTAATTGGGGGAAATTGTTAGTTGGTGAATAAGTCTCTCTCATTATACTCTGTGCACAGGAAGCATGCCAAGTGCGCATTCCAAGCTGGAGGATTCAGTCTGGGCCACTGCTGGGATGTATATGGAAATATCCTTTGCACAGAGCAGTCTGGTCTGAAGAAGCAAATGCTTTAAAAATCCACTATTCTACTTGCAGGAAACACCGCTTTCTCTACAAAGGTGCACAGGACCAAAGTGCGTGATAACCCGTTCGAACATGAGACATTCATTGCTAAGGTGCTGAACTAAGAGTTTAAGGTTGGGAAACTAATAAAATGTACACTCGTACTGTTCTAAATGGTCTTGTCACATTTAATAATGTGAAACATGTTTATGACAAATTCTGCTATGGAAAATAGTTACAAAATGCTATGTTTTTTGTTTTGTCTTTGAGGGTGCGTAATGCCCGAAAGGAGAAAAACAAGGAGGAGAAAGAGAAGAAAGGTGCTGGGGAAATCGATAGCCAAAACTGTTAAGATTTATCATCTCTGAGTTGTTTATCTTTTTTATAGTTTCCAATTTTCTAAAAAAGTTTTTAACCATTTCCATTTCTTTCTGAAAGTGACACTACAAAAGTCAGCATATCCATAATAATATTTAAAATGAAATTACCTATTGTAACAAAAACATTAACATAAAACTCAAAATGAAGAAATAATCACCAGTGAGCACTTATATACAATCCCACTGTATCTAGTTACAAAGACAAAATCAACTTTATAAGAATGCATCTATAAATATGCCAAAAAAGGTTCAGTACAGTGAATGTCCAATGCAATTTCTGACTTCAACACATACCTTATAACATATTAACAGAGCGTAAGAAAGTCCCTATAAGTCCTCACTGAAATACTGAGTTGGGCAACTACATCATATATTAATAATACAGCCCATAGGAACCTTATTTGTTCCTCCACCCACCTGTCCTGCCATTATTTTCCACAGTCTAATAGAAAGATTTTACATCTGGCCCCTGGTATAATTTTGATGCTAGAATCAGGCGATACACAGTATATTCATATGTGAACATGCACACACAGCTTCATCACTGTTACCAGAACAGATAAGGAGAGGAGAAATGCCAATGTCTTCCAACATGTCAATAGTTGTGCTAGTTTTGGTTTTCTTTCTTTTTTTAAAAAAAATATGGAACGCTTCACGAATTTGCGTATCATCCTTGCGCAGGGGCCATGCTAATCTTCTCTGTATCGTTCCAATTTTAGTCTATGTGCTGCCGAAGCGAGCGCTTTCTTTCATTTTTAAGGAGAAAATGTACCAAACCCAACACAGTTGACTCATTCTGAAAGTATTCAAAAGTCTACCACCCTTGGATAAATAAATATATTTTCTGTTCTCTTTCATGTACTGAGGAATGAGGTGGGAAAAGATAATCATATTCCAGCGAAAGCCTATATCTCAACTTCATACATCTTATGTCCCAAGGGTCATATTTTCATTCCAGCCTTAATGGAGCAAATTTCTAATCAGAATACGTATTCAAAAATAATTGAGGCAGCACAGTATCAACACATCAAGCGGCAAGACTGCCTCTGTGCTGGCAACCGACTCAACCTGCTCTCTGGAATGACGTGCAGCCGGGGCGGCTGAGAAAAGTCAGACTTCTGAAGGGGAACAGAACACAACCGTTCTGCCCTCGCTGCTCAGACAGAGGTCGGAGGAAAGCCCCAAAGCCAGAAGAGGCCCATGTGAAGTCTAAGATAGGCTTATCATGGGGTCAGGGGAGGAGTCCTAGTGGACATTCTGGAAACAACACGCCCTCTGGAAAGGTCAACCCCTTTCCTAGGTTTTTAAGTTACTAAAAGCTGAGGGAAGGGGTCCTGCTGGCACAGTGGTTAAGTGCTAACTGACCGGGAGGCGGTTTGAACACACCGGCAGCTCTGTGGGTAGAAGATATGGCAGTCTGCCTGCCTAAAGTCTGCCACCCTGGAACTCCTATCTGACTCACTGTGATTGAGTTCATTCCCACTTCACAGAGACCCCACAAGACAGGTAGCACAGCCCCTGTGGGATTCTGAGACTGTGGCTCTTTATGGGAGTAGAATGCCTCATCTTTCTCCCACGGAGCATCTTGTAACTTTCTAACTGCTGAACTTGAGGTTGGAAGCCCAATGCATAGTCCACTCCACCACTGAGGGCCCCCTGGAAACCCTGCAGGGCAGTTCTACTCTGCCTCCCAGCCTTGCTATGAGGTAGAATGGAGCCAGCAGCACTGGGCTCTTTTAGATGAAGCCTTAGGGCAAAATATGTTGTGGCATACATCTTGAGATAGCCCATAAAAGAGTAGGAACTTAAGTTTAGGTCCCTTCAAGCCAGGCAATAAATGGGTGATTGTCGGAGCTGGGCAATGCGCAGGGGGCTAGGTCACACTATTCCTTCTGGTTCTGAGTATGCAGGATATTTTCGCAATAAAATAGAGAATATATTTTATTTCAATCTCATGCAGGTGACTGAATTAAATGAAGAAAATCTGTAGACACGGCAAATGTTTTGTTCTCTTTATTTCCTCCCAACTGGAGGAAAAATACTGATTTCTTTGGCAATATGTATAAGATCTGATTTATGTTAATGATTATTTAAAATTAAGTTTGAATTAAAAAGAATCAACCACACATTAGGTTGATCATGGAGAAAAAAGAAATTATTTCACTCCAGGAAAAAAAAAAAAAAGGTCCTGTGATCTATAATGACAGAATACGTGCACCTAAACAAATGCAATGCCACCATCTGCCTGGCTTCTCACAGCGTGACAAAACAGACTGGTAATTAACTGCTTTCCTACCGAAATCTGCCAGCTTTAACTCCCCCGTGTCACTGATCAGAAGGTTCTGTGGTTTCAGGTCTCGGTGCAAAATATAACGCTGGTGGATGTAAGACAGCCCTCGCAGCAACTGAAATAAAAACAACTGGGAAAAAAACCAGAGACAAATGTTAAAATCTGGACACAGAGAAATGTTCTACATACAGTCTACCAAGTCCTTGCATTTAGGCAAAAATTGGTGCCCATCATTAAATATTTTACCAAAGTATTTATGCAGAACCTGCAAGACCAAAATATGCATCCATGATGCATTAAGATATGAGCCATTGGGTTCTTAATAAGTCCACTCCATCAACAAAGACCTCTTCAGTCAGAGAGATCCAACCTGTGTTCTATAAATAAGCATCAATTCTTTATATAACATTCTGTTTCTTCAGTTCGACATTGATGTTGGAGAGAGTTGGGGGACCACAACCCCCCAAGCAAACAAACAAACAAAAACCCTATCCATAATAATATAAAGATAAAATAAATATATATTTTTCACCAATTTTATATAAATGTGCACATATTTAATTCCACACAAACAACCATAACAGAGAACCCATGGTTTCCCCATTGATATGTTTCAAGGAATAGAAAGATAAGATGATTTTGAAACCATTAAAACAAAAACAGTCACATGGTCTAATTAATACTACATTGCAATTATATTGCTTTTGCACATGTGGCCACAGAGATCAGGCTGTGACTAAAGACAGACATGTGTCTTCACTAATTAGAGAGGAGACGCACCCTAAAGGGAAAGAGAAGGAAGAGACAGAGGAAACACACTCAGAATAACACTTTGACAAGAAACAATTCAAGAAGTGACTGATGGCCCTATCTGTGAGGTCTTACATTGGAGAATATGAAATGTTTCTAATTTGAGAATTAAAAATTATTCACTGGACTTTTCAATACTGCTGGTGAAAAGAAGTATTTTTTAAAAATTTACTTGCCAAAATAATCTTATTTGACATAGTTCCCCCCCCTTCAATCTCATAAAAGAAAAATGAAAACAAATGTTCTTATTTTTAAAGGGAACCAACATACAATTCCATATAGACAGCTAATAAGAAATTGGGAAAATTTAAGAGGTACTTGTCAAAGAGTGATGGTGTAAGAGGCAATGGAAAGATGGGCAACTGTTTAATGGTCCTGGAAACTGGAGTTTCTACCATATTTCCTAACGGGGTTATGAAAGCCAAGTACATTTTTTTCAGGGAGGCTGTCTTGAAATAATAGTAAGTTGACTTCATTTCCACACTTGTCCATGATACTATTCTGGGGGGTATTGGAGGGCTGGCACTATTTCCAGCACAGAGGCACCACAGAGTTGACCTCTGCTCCGTGTCGCTGTGATGCGTGTTGGTATATGCCTTTGAGTCACTTCCAAGTCATAGCGGCTTAAAATCCGGGCTGGCTCTTGAAGCCCAAGAAGTAACTGTGTCTAGACTTCTCCTGTCTCAACCATCTGGTACAGGAAATGGAAAGACTTGAGCTGGCACCACCTTCAGCAGCTTCCACCCTCATTCCTTACTTCTATTACCCCTTGGATCCTGCAGCCTAAAGCTTACCATTTCTATGACAAACCATATCCTTTCAGTTTGGAAGGAAGAACTAGTAGGTCAAAAAGGCTACCCTATGTTTTAAAATTGTCATGTGCTGTCAAGTAGAGAGGCAGCCCTGATGGCACAGTGGTTAAAGTGCTCAACTTTGAACCAAAAGATCACCAGTTTGAGTCCACTAGGTGCTCTGGAGGAAGTGATTAGGTACTCTGCATGCAGGACAGATTAACCCCGCAGGACCAATAATGACAGTAGCGATACCAGAAGGTAAGGGGAAGGAGGGAGGAGAGAGGGGGAACCGATCACAATGATCAACATATAACCCCCTCCCAGGGGGACGAACAATAGAAAAGTGGGTGAAGGGAGATATCAGTTAGTGTAAGACATGAAAAAAAATTATAAATTATCAAGGGTTCATGAGGGAGGGATGATGGGGGCAGGGGAAAATGAGCTGATACCAAGGGCTCAAGTAGAAAGAAAATGTTTGGAAAATGATGATGGCAACAAATGTAAAATTGTGCTTACACATGGATGGATGGATGGATTGTGATAAGAGTTATAAGAGTCCCCAATAAAATGATTTTTTAAAGTTTAAAAAAGTAAATAAATAAAATAAAAAATCACAGCCTCGGAAACCTTATGGCACAGTTCTGTTCTGTCCTGCAGGGTCACTATGGTTTGGAATCAACTTGATGACAGGGGGTTTGGTTTGGTTTTGGAGTTTTCAAAAGCTTTAGAACCATGTGTGCCCATTGTAAGCACTACTTGTTAGCTGTGACATTTACTGTTTGTACGTATTTATTTATTTTCAATTTCCTTCTACCAAGGCTTTCCAATGGTTGAATCCATTGGATTCAATGTGCCTTTGTATCCTCAATATAGTGAATCAGATTCTCCACCCAGGGATCTTGTTAAAAGGTGGAGTCTGTGGACCTTGACCATCTTCATAGGCTGGGCACAGAGTTAGTACTCATAAAACCACAATGATCTGCAAACTAAACTGAGAGCAGCTGGATGCTACAGATAAAAATAAATAATAGACAGGAAACTCTAGAATGGGATTTTGGGGATACTAGGTGCAGAAGTGGAGAGACAAAGCAATCCCAAAGAAAGACCACTTATATATTAGTGAAAATATATAATCCTCATGCTAATCCAGAAACTATTCAAATAGGATATCACATTAAAGATTAAGAAAATCAGTGGTAGATAAGGATGTAACTATACAATCCAATTATAATTGTATACATGATGAACTAAGCCCCAAACATAATTTAAAGGTCTACACAATGAAGCTTGTTAGCTCTTTGAGAAATGCAGATAGTTAAGTCAAAATAAATCTCCACAGCACCAATTCATTCAAGATGTATGAGGTACCACCCATGTGCCAGGTGCTGTGCCAGGCACGAAGCTCATAAAGATGACTAAGGTGCAAGATGTGGTTCTTGGACTCACGGAATCACTGCCTACAGAGAATTTTGGTCTTACGAACACATCACTGTCACTTTACAGAACTCTGCACTGTGACAGCAGAAACCGAGTACAATGGAAAGCACAGACCAGAGAGGATCTCCCCAAATGTTACGCTAGAGTTGATCCAGCCAGTAGGCAGGGTAGCCTGTGAAAAGGGAATGAATCATAAGTAAACTAAGTTAAAAGGAGATCGTATATGAAAGTGTAAAACTACCCACTCAACATCACAAAAATAATGGGGCAAAGGGACAACAGACTCCATGGAAACCACTAGAAAACATGATGTCTTACAAACAGCATCTGAATGTATCTAAGAAAATATGCAACTGCAAGCTAGAGATAGGACTAAAGTGAACGTCCCTACTCTTCAGGGATGAGGCAGTTCTCAGGAAGTCCTTGATACAACCAGCTCAGTACCTAACTTCTCCTAGCGCAGTAATCTATTTACTCATTTTTACCTAACTCTAAATATTTTTTGAGAAATTCACTGGTAAAAATTATAACACAGCAAGCAATACTTGATGTTTTTTTTCCTGTGAATGTAGAATTCTGTGGAAACAAGAAAGACCACCAAATAGAGAATCACACACAAATAGCAATAACCAGCTGTGCAGTTAGTAAATAAAGGGGAGTGTTTGTGGGACCCTGAGCAAGGCGAACCCGAGCCCTCTCTGAGGGCTGACTCTGTTCAGGGCTCTCCATCTATTGTTTAGTTGCTGGGAAGTCAGCTCTGATTGACAGAAACCCCCCGTACAACAGAATGAAGCAAGGCCTCCTCCTGCTTCATCTTCCCAATCACTGGTGTTAAAGTCCACTGTTGTAGCCACTGTGTATTGGGAGTAACATCTGACTTAAGGGACTCCTAGTGGACAAGAAGGGACTATATTGGACAATAGTCAGTGTGATCCATACGGGTTTCACCCACAAAATTTGGGTCTTACTCTTTAAGCTGACTTAGTCTGGAATTCCCACTGAAAATTCTCCACCGTGGGTGAACCTGCTGGTATTTCATGTACCTGTGGCATACCTTAACAGTCTGTTGCAACATGCAAATCACCACAGTATGACATACTATGTCTTTCCATCTATACACATCCTCCAAATTTAAACAAATGAGAAAACTAAGTTTTCTAACAGCAAAGGAAATGTCCTCCAAGTCAGTAAGCCATTACCTGTTGCTGCTAGGTAACTGAGTTGGTCCACAGTCACAAACCTCCCATGTACAACAGAAACAGACAAACACAACCTGACCCCGTGCCATTCTCATCATCCTTGCTGTTTGTTCCAACACTGCTGAGTCTCTCTGTCTCTGTGAAGGGCTTCCTCGTTTTCACTGATTCTCTACTTGACCAAGAATGATGTCCTTTTCCCTCCTGATAAAATATCCAAAGTACATGACACTAACAGAGTTCTCCATTCTTTTGGTAGTCTCAGTCAACACCATAATCCACATGCATCCGTTCTTCTTAGGTCTTCCTTAGTCAATGCCCAGCTTCCTCATAAACACGAAATGACGGAAAGCATCATGGTTTAAGCTAGGCACACCTTAGTCCTAAGTGAAATCTAAACTTTTTGATATTTTAAAGAAGTTTTTGAAACAGCTATAGCCATGTTTTGTCTAGACTGCTGCTTTCATGGGCATTGATTATGGATACAATCAAATAAAATCCTTTACAACTTCAATCTTTTCTCCCTTTAGCATGATAAGGCCTATATGTGCCCTTGTGAGCATTTTCAGAGATTGTTATCATATCAGAGATTGTAGTCTTTGATCTCCAGTAGCAAATGCTTCTCTTTGCTTTCAGCAAGCAAGGCTGTGTTGTCTGAATATTTCACTCTGTGAATGAGTCTTCTTTTTTTCCCTGCTGTATAACCTTTATGACATGTTATATGTGTTAAATCCCAAGTACTAAAAAAACCAAAAACCTTATTGTGAATTGAGTATGGTTTATAGAGTCTTCATCATATAGCTCAGCTTCTCAAATCATATGCTCAGTCTACAGTTTGCATAAGTCTAGAACAAGGAAAATCACCCTGATACACACTTCCCTGAATTTAAACA